CTCCTACTCCACTCTTCTCCTTTCACTTCAAGTAGGAAATTCACTATTCTTCGATCACTCAGATACAATAGTGAATAAGTGTCCACTGACACTTCTCCGAGTGCTTCTCACAAAGCTACACTCCTCCAAGGTTTTTCGCAAGCTCCTCTTGTTACTCCGCCTTCCCAAGTACTTTGCACCAAGCTGTACTCCTACACCACAAGAACTACGCACAAAGTTACGCTCTCACAGGGTTTTCACAAGCTCCCCTTGTTACTCTGCCCTTTACAACGAGTGCTACGCACAAAGCTACACTCAACCGGGGTTTTTCACTCTCTCTAGTTACTCCGCCCTCTTTCTACACTCAGTAGAGAAAATTACAAAGGAATAAAAATTTCCCTTCACTCAGACTTGAATGTAATTCTATGAAGTCTGTTTCCCCTTTTCGGCTAATTAAAAATATTGCTTGTATCTCTTGCTTGTATGTCTTAGCCGTACTTAATTTGAAAACCGCTCAATCGGGGTCTATATGTTGAATTCTTGTCTTTCTGCTTCTATTCAAGTCTACTTGGGCAATTTATAGCCAATGAAACCTATTTGCCCGTTGATCAACTTTCGATCTCGATCGTCCATCTTCGTATGTAGTTGATCAAAATAAAATTGTCAACTTGATCTGAAATATTAGGTAGAAGTCTTTTCGCCTTTTGTTAGATGATTTGAATATTTTGCCCGTTGCCGTGTATTGAATTTTGTAGCCTCCAAAATTTGAATAAGTTTGGCGCGACAAGCTTTACATTTCTTGTCCTTCATTAATGTTCTGACATATCAAGTTGATCAAATAATTCATCTGTTGATTCTTGCTTGAGTATGAAGCAATATCTCCATGAATCAGCCTCCTTCGAGCGTCTCCGGTTCCAGCGTAAAAAGATTGATGTTCAGATGAAAATATATCAGTTATTTTCTCCTTGAAAATCCATGTAGAATAATATACTGGAACCTTCTGTAAAAACTCCATAGTTGTTCATGGTGAGATGCTCTGTTTCGACTTTGAACTTGGTCCACCATACTTGGTGTGTTTCTTTATCTGGTGCATGGCTTCTGTGAGACTTGTGCATTCATCTTGGTTAGTCTCCTTTTTACTTAGTCTCCAACTTAGTTAGTCTCCTTCTTCGTGGTTAGTCTCCACCATACTTGGTGTATTTCTTTATCTGGTGCATGGCTTCTGTGAGACTTGTGCATTCATCTTGGTTAGTCTCCTTTTTACTTAGTCTCCAACTTAGTTAGTCTCCTTCTTCGTGGTTAGTCTCCTTCTTGCCTAGTCTCCATTGAAGTTAGTCTCCCAAGCTAGCTAGTCTACGGCTTGCTTAGTCTCCCATACGGTGGTAGCTTCTCTCCCAAGCAAGGTAAAAATTCTTATCTTGATATTTGAACTTAGTATCATTTGGCATAGCTTACACACATATCATTCAACTCCTCTACCATGGTTCTTGGTAACTTATCCGCATCATAATTGTGTAAAGCTATAATCCCGCTTAACTTCTTCAAATAAATTATGATCTTCCAGACTTGTACATGGGTTGCATGATATGGGTGCACCATACTATGTAGACTCAAACTGACTCAAATAGAATAAAATTGGGGCCTACTTGATTTTTCAAAAATACATTCGGCTCATCAAAATTTACTATTTATTCCTAACAATTTCCCCCTTTTTGATGATGCCGAAACTTATACCCAAGTCATTTTGGCTTTGTCAATTTTTGAAAAATAATTTTTTTAATTGCTTTTATTTCGACTAGCCAATTAACGGGTTTAACAAAAATTGAGACTTTGAGATTTTTATTTGGACAATCCTCAACGTATACATGAGACTTTGATCGTGGGGTTTGCATTTTTCTTTTTAACTTGAATTTTTCTTCCCCCTAAATTTACCTTCTCATTTATACGTGTAACATATTAGTTCTAGGTCTAAATTAAAATCTTGTGACATACTAAACAAAAAAAAAAAAAAAAATAGCTAAGACATAAAAAGTATGGTACCAAATTTTGTCATGCATATTCAACCCATAATGTACCAAAAGATCATAATGTGCTAGCTAAATAACTTATACACCAAAAATTATGAGATGTGTCAAACAATTTTTACCTCCCTCTTAGTTTTGCATTGATGTGCGCCCGTAGTTTCTTGAAGTCATTGTCGTAGTTCTTATTTTGGTACGGGGCAGTCACTTGTCCAATGATGTAGTAGACATAAGCTTCTCTTATGCTTTCTCCTCTCAACACGCCGGCTTCGTGCCAAGTAATGCACTCATCAAAGGATCGGCCATCACACATTTGTTCACTCCGATGTCCGAACTCAGTTTGAAGCTCTTGTAATTTTTGCATTCTTGTGGCAATTGGCTTCGACATTGGTGCACTCGGCGTAGGTGGTAACACATCATGCGAGGTTGAGCTAGAACTAGGACAAGTACCTTTGAGATAATCAATCATGCTCACACGGCCTTGTCCACTTCAACCTCTTGGTGTTGTTGTTGGCGAATTAGTTCCACCATTGGTCCTCTCGACTGTGATGCATATGCATAAGCTTGAGGTACAAAATGACTTGCTAATCCTTCCCCCTTTTCGGCAGCATTAACAAACTTTTGAAAGCTCTTCGAGGAAGAATTTTGTTTTTCTCGAACACCTTCGAGAAGATCCATGTTGATATGAGTTTGTTGTAGAGTCCCTTCATTTGTTGCTCCAATAACTTGAGTCTTGAAATTGTTTCGGACCCCAACTTGCCCATTTCAACAAATAATTTCATCACTTCATTTTTCAACTCCTCCTTAGCCATATCAATTTCATTTTTCAATAGGCCTTGCCTATTGAACAATTGCAAAGCACGATCAACCATATCCTTATGATAATCATCAAGCTTGGTGTCCATGGTATCAATCTTGGTATTCAAACCTCCTGTGGACTCTTAAAGAATCATCTTAACATCTCCAACAATTTCCTCCCGTAAGGTTCGAACATTGAACAATGTTTCGGCTTGCATTAGTGGTGTTGGATTCAACATTGTGTGAGTAAAATCATCTTGAGGAGTGGTAAGCATTATCTCGGCAAGATTTGGTTCAGCCTCCTCATTATTGTAGCAAAGCATCAAAGTGGTACGGGGCCTTGGGTTATCTTGATCATAAAACTCACATGTAGTTGGCAAGCTAGGCAAATTATGTGCTTCATCCAAATTTAAAGAAATTTGATGGCTTGGTGCACTCACATTGTCTTGAATTGATCCCGTAATCTCCGTTTCGGGATGAGGAAAGCAAGACTCATAGCTTAAATTTTCTTCTCCAAACGTGGCAGGATACGGGTCTAACTCCGGCAATCCTCCATCATCAATTCGTGCCATAGATCCTTCTCCGGGAGCCCTTCGAATTTCTTCCAACGAATTAATAGTGGCCCGGCGAATGTCATTTGGATCAAATTCTCCAATCGGCACATCCGATGCGGCTTCAACAATTACATTTTTCTCGGTTCTTTTCTTTCTTGCAAGCTTGGTCATGAAACAAGAATTAATAACCGAAAATCGTGTGGCTTGGGCAAGATCATGAGTACCTAGCCAACTCAAAAAAAGTTCCTCCCGTTCCAAGGTATTTGGCCCAATTGTTCGGCCAACTTGTTGTGATCGCCCAATCTCCAAGCTCTCCAAGCTTTGGCACGCTCAAACTCCTCCAATAATGCACTGTCCGCCCCAATAGTTGGTACAACATCAACACTGCCAACCTCAACTCTATCACTCTCAACTACATTAACCTCCACTCTATCAACTCTTTCAACCGGCACGGGAAGGTTAAGGACAAAAAGGTTTGGATTTGGCAAGGTTGCGGGTCGGGTGGTTATTGGGTGGCTAGATGTTTCTTCATTGGATCTTATTGCGAGGGTGTTGGATGCTTCATTGCTTGGTTCACGAATGAAGGGTCTTAGAGCTAAGGAAGGGTTTGAGGTTTTTCTTTTTCGGGTAAGCTTGGGTACGGTGGGAATTTTTGGTTCGGTTGCATTCGGTCGAAAGAGGTAGTTGTGGTTAGTGACAAGTTTAGCTTTGGATAGGGTTATATTTTTTGTTCTTAGAATCTCTCCAATTGCAAATCCATACCCAATTTCTTGTTGAAACCAACCATCAATCAATGGCTTGGCCTTCACTAGCGAATCACACAACCTCTAAAATATAAATGCACCCCAATCCACACACACATTATTCAAAATCACATCCATGATCAAAAGCTTCTCCCTAGACAATTTGTCACGGCAATAGTACCTAGACTCAACACATTTGTGTATAATATCCAATAGGAGTCCATAGTCCTTTTTGAGGTCCTTTTTATTGCCGTTTATCTTAGGAGCTAGCGGTGCGTTGGCATCGCGTACCTTGGCCCAAGTAGCATTGATGTCAAAAACATGAGTCTCTACCCGCAAATTTGACTCAACAAGATTAAATATCCTCCGAAAATCATCGACTTTTATTTCTATTTCAACTCCTTTCACCATAGAAATAATTGAATTGTTTTCAACTCTAGCATGCAAATATAGCTTGGTCACCTCATCTTTGTAAAAACCAGCATATCTAAAGGTGCAAAAATTTTACAACCCACAAGTTTCAAGAGAGTTGATAATTTTTACCCCTAAAGTTTTGTCCTCCTGCTTGTTGAAATCGGTGATGTCGAGTATCATTCTGCTAAGTACACGGCTAGATCTCCTTGTTCCTCCAGTGGTGATTGTCTCCACCACCATTTGATCAACCTCCATTGAGTAGAACTTGAGTTGGGGATTTTTTATGAGATTTTCCGGTATTTCGGCGGTGATGTCCGAAAAATTTGATGGGTTTGGGTATTTGGTTTTAGAGGATTTTTGGGTGAAATTTTAGGTTTGGGTGATGGGTATTTATGAGTAGAAGGATTTTGTGTAGAAGATTTTGGATGGTTGAGGAAGCAATAGAAATGTGGACTCTTCTTTTGTTCAAGATTTCTGGCCGACGAGAGTGGAGAAGAAGAAGTGATTTCACTTTTTGGATTTCTCCCTTCTACCCGTTAGAATTGAGGGAAAAACATTGTGAAATTACTTCTTTGCCCTCTAGTGGATGGAGAGAGAGTATTGATCTCTTTGAGGATAAATTCGACCTTCCACATGATTTAAATTTGCCAGCTCATATTTAAATACTCCATTTGTGGGTACATGGCGCCAAAAATTGTGCTTCAAATAACCGCCAACCTGGAGCAAATCAGAAAAAAAAATCTCGAAAATAATCTGTTAGAGCAATAAATATATTCCAGATAAATATTATCATCTCGATTTCATACTTCAATAAAGCTGATATATTTTCTGAAAAGCTGATAAAAATTTTTGGAATGACAGATATATACCTAATATTCTGAAAAGGTCTTTCAAGTTCCAAAGAAAAATTAAAGATTTTGACTTTCACATCCTGAACCCAACTTTTTGACTTTGGTGTTTTAAAAATAGGTAAACTTACATCAGAATAAATTTCTTTATATAGAAACCCATATAGCATGCAAATTCTCCAAGTTCCCCCTAAGAGTATGCCTATCTAAATAATTCATCCAACCAGACAATTTATTCCCCCCCTTAATTGCATACCAAGCTTAAATTAATTAAATCAATTAAACACACTTTGTGAATAAATCACACAAATTAATTATTCTAAAACGTGACAAATAAATAGATACACATTTCACATAACTAAATTACAAACACATGTACGCAAATTTCTTAAGATAAAATTTTAACACTTTTAGGCACAAATAAACTTTACGAAAACATGTATATTACTACATATCACACATACACACATGTTCTTAAAAAAAATTTAAAACATGTAGGTCACATAAGTAACACATTATATGCACAATGCGAACATATTATCAAAAATAAAGAGTTTAGAAAATGCTTAGCTCATTTCGATCATTCCCATTTCATGCCTTAGAGTTGCAAAACGAGATTCACACAACGGTTTTGTGAGAATGTCGGCAATTTGATTCTCTGTGGGAACGTGATCGATTTTCAAATCTTTCTTTTCGACGTGGTCTCGGATAAAATGATGTCGAACGTCGATATGCTTGGTTCGCGAGTGAAGCACCGGATTTTGGGTTATGGCAATTGCACTTGTGTTATTCCATAAAATGCTAACATTGTCGCACTTAATCCCATAGTCCAATAATTGTTTCTTCATCCACAAAATTTGTGCACAACAACTCCCAGCTGCAATATATTCGGCTTCGGCAATGCTCGTAGCTATGGTGTTTTGCCTTTTACTGAACCAAGAGACCAATCTTCCACCTAAGAACTGGCTTGTCCCTGAGGTACTTTTTCGGTCTATTTTACAACCTGCAAAATCTGCATCTGAATAACCAGTTAGTGTAAAATCTCCTTCTTTGGGATACCATAATCCGACATTGATTGTTCCTTTAAGATATCAAATTATCTTCTTGGTTGGAATCATATGACTTTCTTTGGGCTTTGATTGGAATCTTGCACATACGCCAACCGAGTAGGATATGTCCGGTCTGCTTGCAGTTAAGTATAGAAATGATCCAATCATCCCTCGATACATCGTTTGGTCGACATCTTTTCTTTCATCATCTTTATCCAATTTTTGAGATGTACTCATGGGAATTTTGACTGAGGATTTTCCATCTACGCCAAATTTCTTGATAAGGTCTCTTGTGTACTTGGTTTGATTTATGAAAATTCCTTCTTCAAGTTGCTTGACTTGCAGTCCCAAAAAGTAATTTAATTTTCCCATCATACTCATCTCGAACCTGTTCTGCATGAGCTTAGAAAATTTCTCACATAAAGATTTATTAGTACTTCCAAAAATAATATCATCAACATAAATTTGTACTAATAAGATGTGATTATTTTCTTGAATTCTAAAGAGGGTTTTATCGACTAGACCTTTGGTGAATCCACAACTAATTAGGAACATTGACAAGGTGTCATACCAAGCTCGCGGAGCTTGTTTTAACCCATACAATGCCTTCTTTAATTTGTAGACTTGATCACCAACGTCTTTTACCTCAAAACCGGGTGGTTGTTCGACGTAAACTTCTTTTTCAAGTAAGCCATTAAGAAATGTGCTCTTTACGTCTATTTGATATACGATGAAATTCTTGTGCGCTGCATATGCTAGGAATATCCGGATTGCTTCGAGCCGTGCGACGGGGGCGAATGTCTCATCAAAATCAATGCCTTCTTCTTATGAGTACCGCTTTGCAACTAGTCTTGCTTTATTCCTAACAATGACGCCGTCTTCATTTGCTTTGTTCCTAAAGACCCATTTAGTGCCAATTACATTTTGGTGGGTTGGTCTTGGAACAAGTTTCCATACGTCGTTGCGCTTGAATTGATCTAATTCCTCTTGCATGGAATCTATCCAACTTGGATCGGCTAAAGCTTCGTCAATTTCTTTTGGCTCCAATTGTGATAGAAAGCATGAAAACATTGCATCCCTTGTCATTTGTTCATCCCTTGTAGATGATCGTGTTCTAACTCCGTCTCTCGGATTTCCAATAACTAAGTCATGTGTGTGACTCCTTAGCAATTTTCGATTTGGTTGGAAACTTATTGGATTCTCAGAGTTTCCTTCTTATTGAAACACCACTTTTTGAGATGTCTCTTGTTGTGAATTGTTGACGGGTGCTTCTTCGGGTTCATCTACTGGGATTTCTTCCGTTGGAATTCCGGTTGTAGCTGTGAGTGATATTTCGGGTGTCACATTAGGTATTGTCTCAATTTGGTGAGTACCCATTTCACTTGATTCTTCCTCCTGCAACACATTATCTTCGAAAGTATAGTTAGAATTATTTAAATCACGATACCTACATTATCTTTGCCATTTTTGTCGTGATTTTCGTCGAACACAACGTGAATTGATTCTTCTACCACCATGGCTGATTTGTTGAATATTCTATATGACTTGCTGGTAGATGAATATCCTAGGAAAGTTCCTTCGTCCGGTCGCTTGTCAAAATTCTTTAATTGAGACTTTCCATGACCAAGTATAGAACATTTACAACCAAATGTATGAAAATAGGTGAGATTGGGTTTTCTCCCTTTCCATAATTCATATGGTGTTTTGTTATAGGACTTGTGGATTAGAATGCGATTTTGAGTATAGCACGCCTGTTGATTGCTTCTGCTCAAAATCTTTTTGATACTCCGGCGGCTGTTATCATGACTCGTGCGGCTTCCTTGAGTGTTCGATTTCCTCTTTCAGCTACACCATTTTGTTGCGGCGTTCGTGCGGCAGATAATTGATGTAATATTCCTTCTGAGTTGCAGTACGATTGAATCACTCCGTTCACGAACTCTGTTCCTCGATCGGTTCGTATTGTTGCAATCTTCATGTCCTTTTCGACTTGCAGTAGCTTCAATAGCTCTGGCAACTTTGATAAGACTTCATCCTTTTTCTTGATGAATATTGTCCATGTGTACCTGGAAAAATCATCAACAACAACCAAAGTATATTTCTTACCACTTATACTTACTGGGTCTACTGGTCCAAATAAATACATGTGCAGTAGACTTAAGGGTCTTGATGTTGACTCTTGAGCTTTGGCTTTGAATGATGTTTTGATTTGTTTTCTTTTCTGGCATGCATCACATATTTGATCCTTTTTTAACACAATATTGGGTAGTCCTTCGACTAGCTTATTTCTTGCAAGCTTGTTGATGGTTTTGAAATTCAAATGATTTAGCCTTCTGTGCCATTCCCAACTAGCATCATTCGAATTGTTTGCCATCAAGCATACAGAATCTTTTGTTGTGCTCCAATCTACAACATACATATTTTTCTTTCTTGATCCGGCGAGTATGACTTCGTTCGTAGATTCGTCCATGACTTGACATTTGCCTTTGTAAAATTCTACGAGGTATCCTTTGTCGCAAAATTGACTTGTACTAAACAAGTTGAATGTTAATCCTTCGACATAATATATATACTTCATCAATTCGTAGACCATTTTTCATAATTGCGCCTATTCCTTTTGTCATTCCATATCGATCGTTTCCACCGAACACTACTTTTGGTCCTTCGATACTTTTGAACTCAACTAGACTAGCTTTATTGCCGGTCATCCGCTATCGAAATACCAAACTTCCTGCAAAAAAGATTAATTACTTTTAGGTACCCATACTTGTTTGGGTCCTTTTGTGTTAGTAATTTTTGGCATCCAAATCCACCTAGATCCCACTGATCCAAGAGTAGGTGATTTGTAACCATTAAAAACTCTATAATCATAACGCACTTGCGAATAATGCTTTGGTGCGGGTTGGGAAGCAGATAGTTGCTTGATCCTATGAAAAAATGTAAATCTGGACTTGGTCCATGGTTTGTCTTCAAGCGACCAATCTTGTTCTGAGGGATATAATCTCCCAGCCCCAATTCTCGAAATTCTTCCCATATTCCTATGAGATTTTATTGCACTAGACTCATTGGCTCTCTTTTGAGATACAAATTTTTGCCTTTTAAAATTTTGTTGCCTATCCGAGATATTAAATTTTGGATTCGGCCTTGCAACATTTTTATGGGCATTGATTTGTTTTCCAACTCCTTGTCTCATTGTGCTATACTGACTTTTTACAAATTTTACCACTGGAACTTTATTAATTAAAGTAGTAGTAGAATTAGTCAGTTTCACAGGGGTTTGAGAACATGATGGATCATATCCCAATCCGGCTTTATCTCTAGCGGGTTTTTGCATATTCACCATTTTATCCATTATTTTGGATGAATGCATAAATGATGCGATAACTTCTGAAAGGTTATGTTCTCGAACCTCTCTAGCTTTGCACTAGCTCTTCTTGAAGTCGAACATTTTCGGCTTTCAAGTTACTCATTTAATTTAGAGCATTTTGCAATTTTTGTGTCATTTCTTCCTTTTCAAGGATTAACGTATTATTGCGCTCTTTGATTTGAGTATGAGTGGCCATGACCTTTTGACAATCTTCCATAAGACTTTGAAATGATTCTTGAGTCTCGAAAGAAGTGTCAACGGAACTAAAAGAGCTAAAAGAACTAGAAGATACCTCTTCGTCGATTTCACGCGCCATATAGCACTCCTCATGCTCGGATGTCTTGCCCACTAGGCATAGTAGCGCCGTATCTTCTTGTGATGAATCACTCTCATCGCTAGATGATTCTTCGGATCCACTTGCTTCTAATGGTTCGCTTATTAGAGCCTTCCGTTTGTCCTTTTTGAATTTCTTTTCTTTGGATTTGTATTCCACCTATGGAGAGTTAGAAGTATTCGAATTTTTGTTCACCTTGGGGTGTGGACATTCAGCCATAAAGTGTCCAGGCTTTCTACAACTGTAACACACATTTGTGTTTTCTTCGGTATATTCTCTTCTTGATCTTCTATTCTCTCGAAAAGAATTTCCTTGTGGTGATCCTTTGTTCTTTTGCATGAACTTCTTGAATTTCCTAACAAATAAGGGAAATTGTTCGTCAGATAAAAAATCACTATTTCCTACTGACCTTGATGTGGATGGTTGTTTGGCCATCTGTGCGGATGTTCGTTCATCGCGTTCTTCTTCGACTCGTGTCTTCATTTCGAAATCATACGCCTTAAGATCACTAAAGAGTTTATCCGTAGATAATGTCCTTAGATCTCTATTATCGCGCATTGCGGTCACTTTCATATCCCAACTTGTAGGTAGTCCGCGTAACACTTTGAGCGATATTTCCTTCTGGGTAATGGTCTTTCCCAGATCCGTGATTTCTCCAAGGATTTTGATCAATCGAGCTTCCATTTCGGTGATTCTTTCGTTCGGTAGCATTTTGAAATCTTCGAACCTCTTCATGACAATGGTTAGTTTGTTATCCTTTTCTTCTTCATCGCCTTCACCGATACCGATAAGTGTATCCCACATTTCTTTTGCTGTGGTGCAGTTTCGAATCTTTGGGAATATGGTGTCATCTACGGCCTTGAACAAAATATCTTTGGCAATGTTGTCCAAATTATTTCGTCCTCTATCTTCACTTGTCCACTCTATTTTTGGCTTTGGAACATATTGTGGAGCATTTGGATCTCGTGCAACTGCAGTGTTGACTTGCATAATAGAAATAGGACTATTTGTGATGACTTCCCACATTTCATAATTTAGAGCAGATAAGTGCACCTGCATTCGAATTTTCCAATCATCAAATTTGTCAAGTGAGAAAAGCAGATTTTGAGCGAGAATCATATCTCTCTTCATCTTGAAGATTTTAAGATCTGTCTAGCAGTCAAATTTAACTCAAATAGACAACCGCTCTGATACCACTTGTTGGTCCCGAAAGGGTGGCGAGAAGTATAGAGGAGGGGGGAGGTGAATAGACTTCTCTAACTTTTTCAACTTTCTTCAAAAACACACAAGGCAATAACACTTTGGTAATTTCAGCTCTAAGTAACAGGCATAAGCAAGTTAAACAACTTAGAGTGTGCAGCGGAATAGGTAGCGGTAAAGTGCTATGCTTAATTAGTGCGGTGCTCAAAGAGTGATTCTAAACATGCAACACGTTAGAAACACTTTATATGGTTCAAGGATGATGTACGTAAAGTTTGGTTTGCATGCAAACGTGGGAACTATTAAACCCAGACAGATAAAGATATGCAATAAATCGTAATCGGGTTAGTTCGTAGTTAGAATAAGCATGCACGGAATATATGAGCAGTAAGTAAATAGAGATAGAGATTTATAGTGGTTCGGAGATGGTGTAATTCTCCTACTCCACTCTTCTCCTTTCACTTCAAGGAGGAAATTCACTATTCTTCGATCACCCAGATACAATAGTGAATAAGTGTCCATCGACACTTTTCTGAGTGCTTCGCACAAAGCTACAGTCCTCCAAGGTTTTTGGCAAGCTCCTCTTGTTACTCCGCCTTCCCGAGTACTTCGCACCAAGCTGTAATCCTACACCACGAGAACTACGCACAAAGCTATGCTCTCACAGGGTTTTCACAAGCTCCCACTAGTACAAAATAGAGTAAAGAAATATCAATTTAGGTTACCCTTCTTTAAATAAGGGTAGTGTATTCTTTAAAAAAAATAGGGCGGTGGCATAATTGTAAATAAATGAATAAGAAACCGCTACCCTTTTAAATAAAAAGGTAGCGGTTTTTTTTTTTTTTTAAAAAAGCGGAAGGACTCTCCGCTACCCTTTCTAAAGAAAGCGCAGCGAAAACCAGATCGGGAAACAAAAAAAAATAAAAAAACAAAAAAAAAAAAACCCAAACGCCCCTTCACAAACCAGATCTCGCTCTCACCTCTCCAACCCTCAACGCCCCTTCACAAACCAGATCTCGCTCTCACCTCTCCAACCCTCAACGCCTTATCACCTCTCCTCAATGCCTCCTCCGTCGCTCCTTACCACAGGCCACACCTCCGCCGTCGACACTGCATCCCTCATCATCCCACGACGCCACTGACACCGCCTCTCTCACCACGACTCACTCAGCCTCGATCAAACGCCGCCGCTTCTCTTCTTCTCGTTATCTACCGGCGACAAGACCTTGCCGACGCCACCGCCATCTTTCTCCATCGCCACGGCCGCCCGCTTCCCGCTATCGCTAATACGGTAATTTTTTTTTATTTTTTATTTTGTTAAAAGTATTTGTTTTATTTATTATTGTGCTAAATATCATATGTGACTGGAGACTATTTAATTTTTAGGCATGTTCTCCCCCTGATTCTCCTCTTCTGCGTCTCTTTTTTTATGGGTATCTATGGTTTTTTGAAGACTATTCAAGTTTTAGGCTGAGGCGAGTATGAATGCGGTTGTGTTGAAGAAGTTTGTGGCGGAGAATTAGAGACTGGTGGTGGAATGCTTGAATTTGTTGTCGTAGTGCAAGAGATTGGACATAGAGTGCTTGTTGGACGACGGGGGACCTAGAGGCATTGATGGTTCTACAAGTACCAGGCCCAACAGGTTATTGGTTGCATTCTCTTCCTTCTTCCCCCTTTTCTGTTTTTTATTTTTTATTTTTGCAAGTTTTATGTGCAATTTGGTGTTGATTTCTGCTTTTGTGCATAAAGCATTATAAAATTGAGTAAAACCTTATAAGAGTTTATTCAGAAATGACTCAAATGAGTGAGTGTTTAATCTTTTTTTTTTTGGTAGCACATGCTCTGTTTCTTTACTACAAGCAACTTGTGTTTCCAAGTAATGGACTTCTATATTTTATTTAATGGATATCATTATCTGATAAATGCTTTAAGAGGATCTGGATTTGGATCTGTAATTTCATATATTTCTGTTTGGATTACATTAGATTAATAGTGTCTTAGATTAGCTCTTTGGGCATATAAGTGAATCTTTGGACTTTATGCAGTTGCATTTCATTACTTTTCACCCCAGGTCTATCGCAGTGTTGTTTATGGTAACAAACCCAAGAAATAGGTATGTAACTACTAACTAGTATGCCCTCAGTTTCATTTTGATTTTTGCACTTCACTAACATTTTGGTCTTGCCCCCTTAATTGAATATGTTTTGCAGAGTAGGTAGATATATATATTTGCTAACACCTAGAAGTAGTTGTAGTTCAAAGCCTGTTGTGGCATTTGTTACAAGTTGAACATGGATTATTGGGTGAGTAAGAAAGCTATAGTAGTTTTTGTTTTTGTCTTGTTTTCTTTTATTGTTTAAATTATAAGAGTGTGGAGTAGGCTCCAAGCCGATTACAATTTGATCGAAATTTAGCTGACCTCAATTTGACTTCAAAACTTCGACCTGATTCATGGTAAATTTTAATATTATCGTTTTCCTTTGTTCTATGTTCCATAAATTTTTTTTTTTTGAATTGGAGTTATAATTATTGATTGTGATGTTTGTAAATTATTGAATGTGAGCTTGCCACAAGGTTGTGGGGAAAATATACGTGTATTGGATGTGTGTGACTGTGAATTTGCATGGTATTTTATTTTCAATAATTAAGATTTGTTGGATCTCTCGTTTTGATGCTAGCCCAACTACTTTCCTTGGTTCTGATGTAAGTTTCTGCAGATGTGTTAAATTCTTATCTGATATGCTTCTTGGTTGGCTTGCCAGCACTCCATTAATTCTTTCTTTTGTTTACAGGCAACTCTTGCTGATTCTTTCTCAGAAGATATTCTCGTGAGTCCAGCACCTTATTTCTTTTAATTGCACTGCTTATTTGGACCTTGCATTTCCCTCTTTCCCCCTTTACATTTTTCCCTGATGATAGAGTAGAGACATAGAGTTGAATATTGAGAGTTCTATAAAGAATTGCCAAACACACTTAGCTTAATGATAAATTTCTTTCTTCTAGTGCTTTTGATCTTAGCTTGTTCTTCTTATTTGTTATTATTATTATGCATGTATGGTGACCTCGAGTGATAATGGTACTGTAATTTTCTAAGTTTTTTGCTCTGTGGTTTCTTGCTTGGAAAAATAGAGAATCATTGTGAAGAGATAAAGACATATGGTACGAATAAGAGACAAAGACATATGATAATATGTAGGTTTGAGTAATGCAGGTTTATAAAACTTGAATTACTTTGAGTAATGCAGGTTTTGTGTCTACTAAGGCATTATTTGCTATACATAGCAATTCTATTGTTTTTACTTAAGAGATGAAAACCTTTCCTTTGCATAACGAACATATTTTAAAAACTTTTTTAAGCATAAGATTTTGGTTTTATTATCAAATTGTTGAAACAGTGATTTCTTCTTATCTTGTTGGTAGTATTTCTCTGAACTTTTATAAGAATTGACTGTTGGCAGGTATACACTAAATATATGTGATGTTGGGGGCCAAAAAACCATAAGGTCCTACTGGAGGAACTACTTCGAACAAACTGACGGTTTGGTGTGGGTTGTGGATAGTTCTAACCTTAGAAGGCTAGACGACTGCAGATATGAATTGCATAATCTTTTGAAAGAAGAGGTATACATATTCTTGGAGCTATCAATTTCTGCCTAGTGTAGTTGTGCATGCATATACACACACTAATAGTTGCAATCTATAACAATATATATGGTGTGCTTTTTGTTTTAGTCTCCTCTCTTCTTCATTTTTCCTTTGGAATGTCTGGTTTCGCCCTAAATTTGAGCTGTGTTTGTTTTTATAGATTTAATGGACTCCTTTCAGTGTGAGGGTTTCATGCTATATTGTTCCAGGGAAAAATTTCCATGCCAAGGTTGTTATAAATTGGCGCTATCAAAGAAAGCCAGATCAAAACATTTAAAGGTAAGACAAATAATGTAGGTGCAAGTATTTGTGGAGTGTTATTTTGTTCAATAGACTTTATTAATCAGTTCTTTCTTAGGTCATTATGCATATGTTTTCTCCTTTCAGCTTCAACCACAAATTTACTGATAATAGATCATTATCTTGATAGGTCCCAGACTTTGATGTGGTAACTGAATCTCATCGTAACATACACTATAGCCATGCCAAAAGATGTGGGGGACATTAGAAAAAGCTTGGAGACATTGCAATGTAGCTTTTCAAGTTCATTCAGTTATTAGCTCATATAAATATCAAAGACAGAACGTTAGAAGGTATACTCATCAAGGATGGATTAAAGCCATAGCCATCAGCATGTATGAGCTTGCGTATTGATAATATTGTATTTATAATATAATATGGTGATAATATTGTGTTTTGATGGTTTGTTGATAAAATTGTGTTGATGGTTAATATTATGTTGATATGTAGTATATGAATTATGTATAGGATTTTAAAAGAATTAGGAAATTTAAATATAATAATGTTTTTTTTTTGTTTTTTTTTTTTAAAATTCGCTACCCTTCTGTTTAAAGAAGGGTAGCGGATGCTTTAAAAATAAAGAAAATTTGCTACCCTTCTATAATAGAAGGGTAGCGGATGCTTAACTTTCTGCTACCCTTGTTAAAGGGTAGCGGAAAGGTCAAGGTTTTCAGCGACCCTGGTATCCGCTACCCTTGTACAAGGGTAGCAGATAACCATTTACAAGGGTAGCGGATGTGTAAATATGTACTAGTGTCCCCTTGTTACTCTGCCATTTACACCGAGTGCTACGCACAAAGCTACACTCAACTAGGGTTTTTCACTCTCTCTAGTTACTCCGCCCTTTTTCTGCACTCAGTAGAGAAAATTAAAAAGGAATAAAAATTTTCCTCTCACTCCGACTTGAATGTAATTCTATGAAGCTCTGTTTCCCCTTTTCGGCTAATTAGAAATATTGCTTGTATCTCTTTCTTGTATGTCTTAGCCGTACTTAATTTGAAAATCGCTAAATCGGGGTCTATATGTTGAATTCTTGTCTTCCTGCTCGTCTTCAAGTCTGCTTGGGCAATTTATAGCCAGTGAAAGCTATTTGCCCGTTGATCAACTTTCGATCTCGATCGTCCATCTTCATTTGTAGTTGATCAAAATAAAATTGTCAACTTGATCTGAAATATTAGGTAGAAGTCTTTTCGCCTTTTGTCAGATGATTTGAATATTTTGCCCGTTGCCGTGTCTTGAATTTTGTAGCCTCCAAAATTTGAATAAGTTTGGTGCGGCAAGCTTGACATTTCTTGTCCTTCATTAATATTCTGACATAT